CCCACACCCACACCCCACCCACATCCACACCCCACCCACACCCACACCCAGCCACACCCATACCGACACCCACCCACACCCAGCCACAGCCACACCTACGCACCCACACCCACACCCAGCCACACCCACGCCCACACCCACACCCTACAAGGTGTTTAGCAGAGCGACTTGGATGCTCTCACATTGCAGTAGAAACACATTTGCACGAATTTGGCAAAACTTGGAAATACGGAGTTTGGATACCCCATGAATTATCACCACTTCAGCTGCAGCAGAGGGTTGATGCCTGTATGGAATTATTGACTTCTCATCGTAACTACCGATGGCTCCACAATCTTATTACTAATGATGAGAAGTGGGTGTTGTATATTAACTATGAGTACCGTCGTCAATGGCTTAGCGCTGGTCAAACAGGTGTAGCAACGCCTAAGCCTGATCTACACCCCAAGAGGGTGATGCTGAGCATATGGTGGAGCGTCAAGGGAATTATTCATTGGGAAATTCTTCCTGATGGTTGCAGCATCACTGCTGATCTCTACTGTCAGCAACTGGATCGGGTTGCAGCAAAACTCAAAGAGAAGCAAGATCGAATTTACTTTTTGCACGATAATCCAGACCCCATGTAGCAAAGTCGACACGCCAAAAGTTACTGAACTTCGGATGGATCACTGTTCCCCATCCACCTTACTCTCCAGACTTGGCTCCTACAGACTATCATCTTTACCGTTCTCCCTCTAATCATTTAAGGGAGAAAAGATTCAACGACGAGAGCCACCTCAAAATGGATCTCCTCAACTTCTTCGACCAAAAGTCTTAATACTTTTATGAACGCGGGATTCTTTCTCTACCAGAGCGTTGGCAACAAGTCATAGATAGTAATGGAGCATACATTGTTGATTGATAGTTGTGTTCTTGTATTAGAAAGAAAAAAATAAAGTTTTTGAAAAAAACGCAAAAAATTTCTTACCAACCCAATAAATAAGAAATTTCGCATAAATACATGCATCATTTTCTTCCGGACAGAAAACTCATGTTATGGATATCATTTTTAAAGGTAGCAATATGTAGATGACCCATGTTTTTTCTAATACTCTGAAAAAGAACAGAGTTTTTCATGGAAAATAAAACAATATATTTCACCAAAGTTTTGAAGCCTAAAAAAATTTTTATACGGTTTCTACGTTTTTTCATACTTACTATAAAGATACGATAAACGCATCGAATAAGATAGAAAGATTGATTTTATGCCAAAATGTATATTGATTCGTAACTGAAGCAGTCTCACTGCAAATTGAAAAACATGATACAACACTTTTAATTTATTCTAGAAGAATATACCTGCAAGGGTCTGAGTATGCATGGAATTAATAGCCATACAAACATCCACAGATTTGTAAGATTACATACCTAGCTTAAATTTGAGTTGATTGATTCTCTCAGAACCAGTTTATAATGGGTGGGCCAGAATAAATTATACCATTAGTATTTCTAATATTTCTCCTCTGTTTTTCAATAAAAAAAAAGTTTTTTTTTATCAAAAAGAAGCGCTTTAAATTCTGTACAATACAATATATTTCATTTAATGAACATAGTTTCCTCCATTTTTTTATTTCACGTAATCTTATAATAAAATCAAGTACAGAATTTTTAATTTTTTTTGTCAACTTTTATTACGGAACGTTTTATCTCTTCAATGAACGTTGCTTTTGTTGTTATTCGATCCCAATTCATACATTGAGCCAGCTGGTTCCATAAACTGTAATCAAATGAGCATAGATCAGATGAAGTGGACGGCCAACGCTTCTCGGGGATGAAATCAGAAAAATGCTCGGCACACCATTCTTGAGTGAGATGATGTGTGTGAGGTCTATCACCATCCTGCTGATAAGTCCAATCCCTCTCTAACATTTTATCACCACATTCGAGAGCTATTGGAAGAACTTTATTAATGTAAACTTCTGCATCCATCGTTCCATTTTCCAAAATGACTCTGTTGTTACGCCTTCAGCACATGCACTTAACCACACCATCACTTTTTCTGGATATTTGGTCTTCTCACGAAAACCACCTTTTCTATCAGCTTCTTCTCTACTGGCAGCCTACACCCGGTCGTTTTGTGAATTGTATATGCCGTCAAGGTCAAAACACTTTTCATCTGCGAAAAGCCACTTTTTAGTGTCATCTTTGCTGTAGTTATTTAACACCCAATTAGCAAACTTAATCCTCTTTTCTTCTGAAGATTAGTTAGCTTAGGTTGTTTTGTCTTTTTGTACGGCCTACATCCATGATCTTCCCGGAGTATTCGCCGTATACTCGTTCTAGAAATATTCATATCTTTAGCTAATTTTCCTGTAGACACTCGTTTCTTTTGATTTAGACGGTTTCTAACCTTCACAATAGCGGCCTTTGTACGGACTGCGGTGTGGGTGTGGGTATGGGTGTGGATTTGGGTGTGGAGTGTGGATGTGTGGGTGCGAGTGTGAGTGTGTGTAGATAAGACTAAAGCACCGACAACCACACCCATACCCACCCACACCCACACTCCACACTCCACACTCCACACCCACCCACACCCACACCCTCTTTTTTTCTCCATCATTTTATAAGACTGTGTGGGTAAACTGACGAAACTAAATTGAAGCTGAGGATTTATGGATGAAAAATGTACTAGAAAAAAGCTTTACTATTCGCTAATAATGCGAGATATGAAAATAAAATTTTCTAGAAAAAAAAAAACCAGGTCATAGTTTTAAACAGAATCCGATAAATTCAAACAGATCTCAATTGACTGAGAAAATTCAATTGAAAGTTAAAAAAAATCTTTTTTTTTAT